GAGTTGTCGTCGGCGTTGTGTGGACAGGTGCGGAAATGCGCCGAAAACCTCCCGCGGAGTCGGGGATTGAGTGACCGCGCGTTTTTTTTTTAAGATGACATTCCCTGCGTTTGCTGTGACGCCCGATCACGAATCTAATCCAATTCCCCCTTTTCACCGAGGATTCATGAACTTGCTGAAAAACAGCCGGGAAAAAAATCCGCAGCGGCCGATTGTTCCCTGGTCGGGAACGTGCCTTCAGTGGAATGAGTCAACAGCGAGCAGAGATGTGAAAGGTTTGAAGCCGAAGGCAATCATTTAATCTCCACGAGAGATGACATCAATGAAGCATTCGAGCTTCGCTTATGAGTCTCTATATAATATAATATAATATAATATAATATAATATAATATAATATAATATAATATAATATAATATAATATAATATAATAAGAATCCATTGGATTTGTCACAGCGCCTTATCACGCCTTCGAGACGTCTCAAAGCGCTTCACGGAACATCCCGTAATGTGTAGTGACTGTGTACTTTGTGGGCGAAAGCGCGCCAGCCAAATGCCCTCGGCTGCGTCCCCGCAAACGGCCGTGGATTGAAGTGACCGAATCCTTTGTGTTGGAGGCGGGTTATTACCCCACGGGAAACAAAATTGATTGCGGGCAGCCTGACCGGGGCGTGCTGTACGGGTGCGCTACGTGTGTGCCCGGGGCGTGGGCGCGCGCGGGGTGCGGGGAACGCGAGCGACAGAAGCCACGGGTAAGACGGAGAGCGGGGAAGAGAGGAGAGGCGTTGATATATGGAGGCCGTGGGTGGAGTAAGCGGAGGCGGTAGCTGTCATAAAGGCGTATTATATACTCTGTCTGTCAGAGAGGACATCAATCAACTCCCGAGACTGAACTTCAGTACCTCAGGGAAATCATTGTAAGCCAATGGCTAATTAACATTCCTCTGCAATCCCTAACTACCAGCAAATTGCCCAAACTGCTTCCGAATGTCTGCACCCGAACAATAGTTATTATTTTTTTTGGGGGGGGGGTCAACTTGGTGCCTTTCTGAAACCACGGGGAAACCCGTCGCCGTCGCTTAAGAGTCTCAAACCCCAACTGAGAATTCCAGGCCTCTCTCTCTCTCCCTCTCCCTGGAGGGACGCCCCTCCGCATACCTAATTCCGGAGAATATTAGGCACAGGTTGGCAAAAGCCAAGGCTTGGGGGGGGGGGCGGGGAGTCCAGAGAGTGCGTTGGGGGTAACTGCTGGAGTCTAACCAGCGAAACCCACACACAGCTCGGCCATTGAGCGCTCTGCCTGGCAATCTTTTCCGCCAATATTAATAATAACTTAGTCACTCAATCCCACGTGTGCGCAATTGGCTGTCGCGCTTTGCCCATGAAGTATACAGTCACTACACTTTACAGCGGATCCCGGGAAGCGCTCTGAGACGTCTCGAAGACGTGATGAGGCGCCGTGTCAAATAAGAAGGATTATTATTTCTATTGTTGTTCAGGAGTACGGCAAAGTCAAACCAAACCGCTACCATGGGAGCATTTGAGAGCATTTTTTTTTGGAAGGAGAAATATTAAGGCGTCTTCACGATCGAACAACGCGGCTCTCGCCTCTCCTTTTTCAGTTTAAATTCCTCGTCCGCGCTTTCAAAGCCTTCCAAAAAGTTCGCCAATGATAATCGTAATAATAATAATAATAATAATAATAATAATCCAGTGATGTTCTTACCCAATTCAGTGCAGTCCTGGAGCTCAGGGGTCAGAGCCCTCGCCTCGCGAGCGAGAGGACCCGGGTTCGATTCCCGGGCAGGTCAGGGCGAGACGTTGGGCAAGTTTCCTCACTCCACACTCACACACACATACGCCTCTGTATACCTCGCAATAAGTTGGAACCTAGTTGTGAGGACTACATGGGTTTGGCTCGTGGCTTGAGCCCACAACCTTGTGACTCGGAGGCGAGAGAGCTACCAACTGAGCGAGGCTGAGGCCATGAGATGAGGTCAAATGGTGTGAAAGATCTTCTTCAGCCAAACCAATCTCGCAATTAAAGCTCCTGGGGCTTAACTGGCTTTTTGCTGCATGTAATTAACAGCGATGTTGTGCCTACAAAAAACACAAGGCCACCGCGGACACGAATAACAACCGGCACACAGTGCCTCGAGAGTTCTGATGTGATTAAAAGTAAAAAAAAAGAACACAAGTTGGTTCTTTCTAAAATACCAACAAGTTTGAACGTTAAGACAATCATCGAACAAGATGCAGAGCGTTCTGCACCACCCCCCGCGCCCCCGCGCGCCCCCTCCCCAGTGTCTAATTACAGCCGTCAATCTACCTAACCGTCCTTGGAATCGTAGGAAAACAGACACAGTCTGTTAAGAGAACATTAATAATAATAATAATAATCCTTGCACTTTGACACAGACGCCCACAAAGCACACGGTCACTACACTTGGCAGTGTATCCCGTGAAGCGCTTTGAGACCTCCTTCTGAGGTGATAAGACGCGGTACCCAACGCAAAGGATTATTCTTTTTCTTTATCCTTATTCTTATTTACGTTCCTGAAATCGAGAGCTCAATGACAGATGTTCAGGACAAAAAATCGCACTGGACATGTACAGCCGGAGCCGCGAAGCTCTTTCTCTTTGCTGCCGGGTTTTGTTCTTTTGGTCTCTCTTTCTCTCTCTCTTCCTCCGAAAGGTTCTAAGTTCCGTACGGTTGTGGGGATTGATATTATTAACGATAATTATAAACCCGTCACCGTCGCTCAAGAGTCTCCAAACCCCCAACTGAGAATCCCAGACCTCCCAACGACACCTGGAAATCCCAGAGATAGATTGTCGGAATGGAACACACTCTCTCTCTCTCTCTCTGTCTCTCTCCCTGGAGGGACGTACCCGGCTCACCTAATTCTGTGTGTGTGTGCGTGTGTGTGTGTGCGTGTGTGTGTGTGTGCGTGTGTGGTCAACCAAGAACGTGGAACGTAAAGGCCCTAAAAAATGGAGTTTGATCCCACAACCTTCTGACTCAGAGCTGAGAGTGCCAGCGACTGAGCTCAGACTGACACCAAAGTGACCTTGGCCGAGAGGCGACTGACAGCCTTCTTCGGGAACAACACTGACAGTAATCGACGTGACAGTGGCCTTGGGAACGGCGGGCAGCGTTGATCCCAGAGGGACGTGGCAACGTGCCTCAGGCCGGAGATTAACGTGAACTCGCGGGTGGAGGCGACAGCGCAGGTTACGTAGGGACAGGATTGGGGAGTGCAAACTTTGTAAAAATACTTATTTTTACTGGGGGTCAGGAATCCTCCTACTCAGCTCCTGTTAACCCTACAAGGCAAAGCCCTACCTCACTAACTCACTCACTGACTTGGGCAAGTTTCCTCACACACACGCACACACGCACACACACACACGCACACACACGCACACACACGCACACACACACACACGCACACGCACACACACGCGCACGATCGGCTGCCGCGTTTCGCCCACAAACTCACAGTCGACTCGCTTTACAGTGTATTCTCTGAAGCGCTTTGAGACGTCTCGAAGACGCGATGAGGCGCCGCGTCAAATGCCGGGATTGTTATTATTATTATTATTATTATGATGATGATGATAATAATTTAACTTAAGCCGCTGACTTACTGTTGCTCTTTTTGTTCTCGGCGCAGCTCCCTGTTGCTGGCCTGCGCTTCCCAGGGCGCTCACCGGTGATTTATCTCTCTGGTCTTCGTGAGATGCGATCGCTGCCGAAAAGCCCCCGTGACAGCAAAACAACCCGCACTAACACAACAGCGATAACCTGTCCTTATTTCCCGCAGTTTGATGTCTCAAAGTGCTTTAAGGAGATAGGGTGCGAGTGTGAGCATTTGACACGACGCTGACAGTGAGCACCATTAAAAAGGAAGATCTTTACGTGAGATTTGAAGGTGGGGAGGGGAGGGAGGGGGCGAGGCGGAGGGATTGAGGGAGAGAGTTCCAGAGTTTCGGGGCGTAGTGTTTGAGTACGCTAAGAGGGGACAAGGGACGAACAGGAGGCCGGAGCCAGCAGAGCGGAGGCAGCGGGTGGTGGAGTGGGGGGGGGGGGGGGGGCGGGGTGGAGGGGGGAATGGGGGGGTTTGGGGTAAGCAGGTGATTCCCTCCCACGACACCCCCCCTAACCTCTGGAATTGTGTGCCCCATTCCCGACGCCTTTATCAATCTTTAAGTGGCCACGACAGCGCGTTTCGCCCACGAGATGCACAGTCACTCCACTTTACAGCGGATCCTGTGAAGCGCTCTGAGACGTCTGGAAGACGTGATGAGTTGAAGCGCTTTGAGACGTCTCGAAGACGCGATGAGGCGCCGCGTCAAATGCCGGGATTGTTATTATTATTATTATTATTATGATGATGATGATAATAATTTAACTTAAGCCGCTGACTTACTGTTGCTCTTTTTGTTCTCGGCGCAGCTCCCTGTTGCTGGCCTGCGCTTCCCAGGGCGCTCACCGGTGATTTATCTCTCTGGTCTTCGTGAGATGCGATCGCTGCCGAAAAGCCCCCGTGACAGCAAAACAACCCGCACTAACACAACAGCGATAACCTGTCCTTATTTCCCGCAGTTTGATGTCTCAAAGTGCTTTAAGGAGATAGGGTGCGAGTGTGAGCATTTGACACGACGC